ACTTGTTAACTGGATAATTGATACTGAGATTGTCACAAGGCTTCAGGATCTTCATAGGACAAATTTCTTATAGTTTACAATAGTAATTATAGGAGACTTCAATATTGTATATAACTCTGCTAAATATAAAGTATCAACTAATAGGACAACATTTAAATTATCTTGATGTCACAAGATTCAATTATTTAATTCTCTAGATAAATGGGCTTTCATAGATACACAAGCAGTATGAAAAAAAAAAAATAAAACTTCAACAAGATGGGATATTATTAGCAATAGCCAGATAGATTATATATAGTTATACAGAGCCTTACAAAATTTCTATTACTATGGTTTAACAATCAAAATATGAAAGAAATCATAGGTAATAACTATATAATACTATTAATAATATTACATGATAACAATTTGTTTACAAGAGACATCATTAATAAATCAGCTATAAAGAATGAAAGGAGAATTACTATTAAATAATTAACAGTAGAACAATGGCCAGAATTCAAAAAAGTGTAAACTATAAGCTTAGAATAATATTAGATTCTTTGTTAGAAGAAGAGCCAGAAGAGAGTAGAAGTGAAATTCATGCAAACATAATATAAAAGATATTCAAAGAACAAATATATAAGGTAGTATACAACAAGCTTGCAAGTAAGAAAATATCTGTTGCACAAGAAAAATATTACAAGTATGGTCCAGAATATATTAAATATAGATGAGCTCTTCAATTAAAAACACTCCTTAAGAAAGCACAAACTTCACAAGAACCAAGCAAGCTATAGGCCCTTAGTGTAGTGATCAAAAAGTACAATAATGTATACTATCCCAATTATCAAATTGAAAACTATTATATTCAATATAGTATTTCAAATATATTATGGACAATATTGAAAAAAGAAATATATGATATAGTAGTAAGTCTAAAGTTAATCTATTGAAATACAAAGATAAGATAGACAAAAGATGCTATTAAAAAGGCTTTAGAATAAAAATGTAATAATTTGTGAAATAATCAAAAAAGAATAGTAGACTTTTTGACAGATAAAGAATAAATCAAAATAGTTCTGGATAGAGTCAAAGTTAGAAATAAAGTAAATGACTATGTAATAACTAAAAAAGATAAAATAGAAAAGTGATAAGAAAATATTATCAAGAAACATTTAGATCATGAGATATTAACTCCTGACTGTGGGTTAAAAAAAATCATGAGATATTAACTTCAATAGTTTGGAAAGAAGAATACAGTTCCAGAAACTATATTCAAGAAAAATGGTATAAAGATCTCTTAAAGCCAATTTCCTAAGAAGAGCTAAGTGAAATACTCCACATGCTTCCAAATAATAAAGCTTCAGAAAAATTGTAAATTAGTTATAAAATATTAAAAAGGCTGGATTAAGAAGAAAAAGACTACTTGAGGAAGATGCTTAACTGCTTTTTAAAATAAAAAGTCACTCCACATAATTGCAAACAAAGTCATATCTATCTTATTGTGAAATCAAAACTATAGGAGTGTGAATTTATCAATGCAAGACTGATAGTATTACTATAAGTTATACAAAAATACTTCACTAAGATTCTCACAAATAGACTGGAAAATATCTACAAAAACAATAATATCCCAAGAGATCTCAATTATGTAGGATTACCAAGAGAAAGTATGATAGAACTAATATAAATCCTTAACAATATATGTAAAAAAGCAAAAAAAAACAAAAAGGAGTTATGGATTCTTTTTCAAGATAGGGCAAAGGCATATGACACAATCAGTCTGAATATACTAGTCAGGACTATAAAAAGAATCAAAATTTCAAAGGGTTTTATCTGATTTATAATAAATCTATTTTATAATAGAGAATTTAGAATGATATATAAAAAAAACCTAATAGAAACAATCATCACAAGAGATGAAATTGATCAAATAAAAACTATTTCACCCTAATATAGAAAATATTTATAACTTTTTATTATATAAAATTCAAAATAATGAAACAAAAGAATATAAAATGTCAGTTATCTAGAATTCAAATTTGAAAAGAGATAGTAGTAGGAAGTTAAAGTCATAATATATAATGATAGCCTTTATAAATGACACTATATGGATAGTAAATTCAAAAGAAGATATAAAAAAAATATTAGAAGAAGCAAAAATATTTTACAGAACAAATTACTTTCAGATTAATAGTAATAAATCAGTTCTAATTACAATTAACAATCTTAACTGGTATCCTGAGAAAGTTCAAGTAGAAGTCAATAAAGAAGTAGTGAGAGAATTGAATAGAATAGAACAAGCAAGGTTTCTAGAAATCTGGATAGGCAATTAAAAGACAGCCATTGAGTTCAAAGAATGAGCGCTTAAAGAAATCAACATGATTATTAGTGCTTTAAAAAATAAAAAACTAACAGATAAACAAACTCTTTACATTTTGAACAGAGTATTAATATCAAGAATTAAATTCAAAATATAATACAGTATACTGTCTTGGAAGATATATAACACCTTAATAACAGTATATAGAAAACTATTCAAAAATAAGGTTATATTATACTAATCAATACTCAATAGTATAATATATCATCCCAAGATTTATAACTTAAAGAGTGTTTGGATATTATAGAAAGAAAGTCAAATAACAGAACTGTGCAATAGATTAAATAACCTAGAATCAACTGGAACCATAACAATCATTAGACTCAAACAAGCATAAATCAAATACTGGGAACCTATCAATATGCTTATCTGTAACTTGCTAAATAATCTTCTAGGAATAGGTAACTTTTTACTACAAATACTGAAGCTGATCAAGCATGTAGACATGATCTTTCAAAGTTGGAAATGGAATGACATTTTTGAATGGAACCAAGGAAACAGTTCAATTAAAGAATACTTGTCGATAGAAAAATATAGGAAAACAATTCTATCACTTAGAAACAACAAGCTAATATATATAGATCAGTTAGTTGATTATGAAACAAGAGAAGTATGAAATTGGTGAATATTTCAGCTTTTACAGAAAACAAGCAAGGACTTATTTTAGGATGGTACCTATCTATAACTGAGATCATTCAAGGAAATAAATTAAAACAGTTTATAGAATCTTGAAAAGATGAATAGAAAAAATGAAGCCCAGAACACCCTACTTTCAACTTTAACTTTACAAATGACAGAAATTCTGAATAGTTACAAAAAACAAATTTTGGTAGCAACAGATAATTTGGGAAAATTGATTATAGATAAAACTAAAAGATAACTTAAAATATAGCACTTTGAATATATTAGTCAGTTAAAAATCAAGAATTAAAACTAGCCCAGTGTCAAAATTGCACAGAAGGCATAAAGATAAAAGAATAATATATAGTATAATAAAAACTCTTTTGTATTTTTTTTTCAAGTTTTTTTACTAAATAAACTATTGATATTGTAGAAATTCACTTGATAAATGAATCAATCACATGAATTTCACTTGAGGTAATCTTTTTTTATTGATCTTGATCCTTTGCTTGAGTAATGTCACCTATTTTTTTAATTTTTTTAGATTGTAGTATATTATAGAAAGGCTAATACCCATACAATACTTGATTTTTTAGGCAGAATAAATACCTTTATTTCACAAATAACAAATTGCCTTATATTGCCATTGTTTTATTGAAAGGGACATTTCATACCATTGTATTTCATGATTGCACTACTTTAAAACTGATGGTAAGTAAGGAGACAAAAAAAATCACATGGTAATTGCAACTTTACCTTTTATAGATAGTCTATTACATCAAATTTATTATATGAAATTTTTCAAATAATTTTGGATACCACCAAAAAATTTAATTATATACTTTAATAATTATTATTTCAAAAATTAATTTATAATTTTTATAAAAATAATAATTAAAAGTATTATCAAAAAAATATATTTGTATTATGAAAATATTAATTATACCAATTAAAAAAGCATTTTGATTTATAAAATATTTTTTATAATTTTTGAATACAATTTTTTTTTATTAAATTTAATAATTATAAATTATTTAAATAAAAAAATTACAAAAAATTGTTTATACTGAAGTTCTATTATTTATTATTTATTATGCTTATTTATAAACAAGTTATTATTATTTTTTTAATAGTTAATTAAAAATGGAAATTATTTTCAAGAATTCATGGTTTAGATCTAATTTACAGTAGTAATATTATGATATAATACCATACAGTATAATAAAAATTTTTTTTATTTATTTATTTAAGTATTACTAAATTATGAATGAAAATAAGAATTTAAAAAAGTCCAAAGAAAGACTTTGTACTGACTGTAATTTTTTCAGTATATGTATTATGACCTCATTCCATTTTTCAGGTAAGAATTTTGCCTTTGTTAACATATAAGTTCTAAAGTAAACAAGGTATCCGTTTTCCATATATAACTAGATAGAAAAGTAATCCTTGCTTCGTGAGGCAAAGTGCATTAATTACTAGGTGGTTTTGGATATTCTTATGCCGTGTATTTTGGATGCAGATTTAGTCGATTATTGTTACTAGAGGTTATATCTGCTTGATCAAGAGTTTGATTGTTATGATAAACTATAACTGACCCCTCGATGAAGTCATCAAAATAAATGGGAAAGGTATCTTTAAATTCTTGAGTGCTGGGTGGTGTGATCACTATAAGGAGATCGGTGAAGGATGCGTTAAAACAACTTAGGGTTATCTGGTAATTGTTAGTATTAGTATCCGTGATCCCTTTTGAGAATTTTCCACGCATACCGACACCACCCGTGCCGAGTTTAGTAAAAACAACTTTACCACCGAGGTTTATTAAAGGGGCACTGGCTTGATAACCAACGGAGAGTTCACTTCGACATACGGGAGTTGCGTAGGCTACCATACAGAATGCGAGTATACATAGAGTTACTAAAAAAGTCAAAGCTCTATTTACTGAAGACATTTTTTATAAAAATTATAATATTCAAGTTCGATGTTTATACAGTAGCAGCGATCTCGATTATGGTACAAACAGGTTGGTTTTCTTCAGAAACACGAAAGATTGACTGATCTTATATTCACAGAGTATGTTTGTGTTATTAATTAATCTTGAAACGTGAAAACGATAATATCCTCTTTATGATTTGTAATCTCCATTAGACACTCGTTCTGTTCCCCACCTATTTTTGCTTGTAGATGATTTCCTAATTATATTTTGAAGTTAATTAATTACGTGCATCTCGGAATTACGTAGAGTACACCATCCTTTGATTCATTCAAATAATGTATCGTATATTCAAAATTTTCAACCCTTTTTACCAGTCTTATTAGAGCATGATGTTCTGGTTTTCATTCTGCACCTTTGCATTGTCGTTCCTTCAAAATTAATTGGTACTCTGATAATTTTGGCTAGGTGATGATTAATTTTTTAGAAGCCAATATTCTATTGGAAAATTCTGGTGGATAGTCACTATTGAGTGTTGCTTTGAATTTAAGTTCTTTTCGTTTCTTCATCTTTGAGTGCATAATAAAGTCAAGTATGTATCCCCATATGAAAAACTGGTACGGATAGATGCATCTAATCTCATTTACTGTATATGTATTACCAGAAAGTTTCTATTCGGTTGTGCACGAAATTGCACAAGATAATTTAGCATTGAAAATGTTGCGCACGGTTAATGGAGATCAATAGTGTCGCGGGGTCCAAACGGCGAGTCAGTCAATTCTCAGCAATATTATTTTGACTATCAAATATAGATTGAATTTTATTAAGCAATAAATTTTAAATATATTCTGATCAAGTATATACAGTATAAATTTATTTTTTTCATTTTCTTTTTCCCCTTTTTCAATGCATTAATTTAGCAATACATTGTTTTTCAGGATAGCAAATTGTTGCAATAATTCTAATAGATAGAGGTGAATATCAATCTATCAGGAAAGTAAAATATCATTTTCTAAATTTGCCTTAGAGTATCTAGTTGAGATTTTGTTTTGTTTAATTCAAACTAGCTTAGTGGTTCTCATATTTTTTAAGTAATATGGTCAACTCTTGATAAAAAAATTGTTATGTTATATAACAACTTACTATATATTATTATATTTAATATTAAAAGAATTAATATAGAAAAAATTTCAACTATAATTCTTATTTGATTTATTAAAATCATATGATTATTATAATTTTGACCAACTCTTTCCACTGATCCTCTGATCACATACAAAAAAGATGTTTGTAAGAAGTTTTTATACTTCCTTGCTAATAAAGTCTTATTACTCTCTTTAAACCAACTCAAAAGTTCTCT